GTTTTCTCAGATTAATGTCAGTTGACTCGGGATTATGTGGCAGTGTAAATACAAAGGTGAATGTAGGCTACTCAAACAATAGCATCAGGTCGATGGTCTTCACTGATCGCACACAAGCTAATATAAATTAAAATTGAAACCTTATATGTGAGTAAAATAATAAGTTTACAAATTTTGACCACATTACAGAAATTGCTTCAGTGTCAAGTGACTACTCATGGCGGTATATAATTAGTTAAATACAAATTTAACGCTTAAACTATTAGTAAAGGAAAAACACGTTTTACACTCGACTTTGACAGTTGTGTTTTAAAGAGACTCAGTTAACAGTTAGGCTACACCTTCAGGGAATTTAATGCAGTATCAGTCAGGGGCACGAGGGGGCGGGACTTTGTTTGTGGGCCCTCCTACCCAGTGACTGAATAATATAATCAGCAATATTGTTCATTATAAACACAGTATAGAAACTGCAGAAGTATACCTACTAAATCATAAAAAATGTCAATTTATCATTTTAAGCTCTGTATAATATTACTATAATCCTATCACATCTCTGTCTAGACTTAAACATATGTAGTACAGTTTAGTAACTTAAATACTGACTACTTAAACATTTTAGCATGTAATTTCTAATGTCACTTAAAAATTCATATAGTAACTCGTGATTTTGCTCTGTTGTAAGTTGTTGTGGCACACGTAGTATAAATATAATAAATATGAGATGTCATTTAATAATGTATATTTCTTTGTAGCTACTCCACAGTGAGTTTATGGTGTTTTTCTCATATAATATCTGTATAATATTATATTATAGAGGCCGTCAGGCAGCGCCTCCAGACTCTCCAAGGAGAACACATGACATGGATCTGACATGATCAATAAACTAGATTACACTCGCAACAACAAAAAATCCTTACTTTCCAGTTATGTTTTCAGTATATCACTTACACTAAGATTAACCGTTTACAGCCACAGATACTCTACACTAGCTACCACCACAATCACTACACTTGTTTACTTACTCTGTATGTTTCTGCTGGTTCAACTCCAAAAAGAACTCCAAGAACTTAAAACAACAAACTAAATGCAATTTAATGTTAACTTTTAGATATCCATCCTTCTCTGTTTCATACCGGCAAGCCGTCCAAATTAGAAGAACCCACAATAAGATTCACATTAAAGCTTATCTGCTTTAACGCACCAGATTTTTTTTTTGTCCATTTTGCAGTGGTTTAGTCCTTGTAGATGGTAACACAGTATCTGTGGAAAAAACACAGCACAGATCTGCTTCAAATATATTATTATAATAATTTCACTTAGTGTTTTAAACATTAATTTAATAGACTAAATTAAAAAGCTAAACAAAGATCAGGGGGCCCCTTCAAGGGGTGCCAGACAGACAACAGGAGCGCCACAATGTCACCAGAACAGATGGGTAAAAACTTCATGAAATTAAATTGTTCCTTAGATAATACAGTAGTTAGGGTTTTGAATCATTAAAAAACAGTGAAATTAAATTTATGGTAAAATTAAAAAAAAGTGGAGTGTGACCATATGAGTGTGCCCCCCAAGACATTATCTAAAGCTAATATGATACGTCAGCCATTTGAGTAAAATTAATAAAGTTACAGCTTTGTTAGTATAAAATTCCCTCTTTTTTTCCTGGCTCAACACGTAAACACTGTTTGAGGAAACACAGTCAGGAATCAACACTTTCCACCTTCAGTCATTTTATTGGGCTACATCATTACAATGGCACAAATTCAGTTTTTAGTTGTTTGTAGTATTTTTGTTCAGTTCAGTTAAGGACATGTCATCGCGATTTAGGATTATCTGTTTTCATTTCACAAGGTCCTACAAGAAGATTTATAACAACGGTAGCAACAGCAACAAAGGTAATAATTTAGTGGCAAACAAAATCTATTGCCAATCTGTTGCACAGCAGGTGGCTGCTCATAGATGTTGTTGCTGTTTTTACATGCAGTTTTACAAGTGTTAATTTGACAAGGCTGGGTGTTTGTTCTCTTTTTATGTGTGATATATTCCTTCCCTGAACATCTTCTCCCTTCATCACCCAGCAAATGGGCTCATGCTGCTTGTTGTTAGGTCAGACGTTTGTCACTAGAGGGCTCACTTTAAGAGAAAGCAATGGGAATGTGCTGGAGGGAGCGGTTTCCAGGCCTCTTCTTGGCACAGCGTGTTGTATTCTCTTTTCACAAAGGGTGGCAACAAAACCACATCTATACTGTTCATTCACTCTCCTCACAGACCTCCCCGTTGCCTAAGGCACAACTTGGGGAATGCTCAGAAATGCATGCGGTGGTGGTGTGGCCAGTGTGAATGTAAGGTACGGGTGAATTATTAATTTATTAGGAATTATAGCATCTACAAGGCATAGTAAAGAACACCCCACACTGACTCAGTTTCATGCAAGATTTGAAGCAAAAGTAAAACAGTTTCTCATGGGAGAGCATAGTTTTCTTATTGCAGGGACAATGGAAAAAGTTGTAAAATGAGGCTGAGGTTCAGTGCTTAGAAAAAGATTAGAAATACACAGACATCTCATTGGTGCTCATGTTTCCCAAATTAACTGTTCAAAAAGGTTATTGCTATATTACAGTATAATCAGTTTAAATCTTTATTCTATTGCTGAATAAAGAATGCAATCCATTTTCATTCTCATGCGGAAGTAGGAATACAAATGTAGGCTTTATAGGAAAGAAATTAGTGTTGGAGACTATCTGTGAAGTAGGAATATGCAGTAATTCCCAAACTTGTTCAACACAATACAATACATTTCAAATTAACTTACCGGAACGCTTTATCAGAAAGGTGAGGCGAGGATGGGGTTTTAACCATCATATAGCTCGAAGGCAATGTTTGTCAGTTGGTCCACCACGTTGGTCCTGACTGAAATACCTCAACAACTATCTGATGGATACAATGTTATACAGATGTTCATGGTGCCCACAGGATAAATCCTACTGATCCCCTGACTTTTCCTCTAGTCCCGCCGACATGTTGACATTTTTGGTTTTAGTTTACATGTCTTGATAACTATCGTATGGTACACACATTCATGACCCCCTCAGGATTTGTCCAAAATTTGCCTAGTATTTTTAGTTTATGATCAGTTACCTGCAACTAATATCTTTCTCAGATGTAGTTTGTTTTTGGGGCTAATTAGCAAATGTTTGCTAAACACTAAGATGGCAAACATGGGACACATTATACCTCCTTAGCATCAGCATAGTAGCATTGTCATTGTGATGCTGATCTTAGCATCACTGTTTGTGAAGCTCTGTCCATATGTAACAAAATCTGCCTACCAGCACCTGTAAATCTAAAAGAAATACCAGCTACTTACTGTAGAGTTATATTTACTGGACAGATATGAGAGTTGTATCAATCTTCTCATCTAACTCTCAGATGATTCGTCTGTTGCCCTTGAAATAGTATGTGCAGATTCACATATCATGTTCTTGTTTGTGCATGCAGGTACAGTAGGGTACACTCTAAACAATTATAAAGTGAATTAAAAGCAAAGTCATTCTGCTACAGTTAAAAAATGGTTGATACGAAAAGAGTAAATTTAACAGATCTCAGCTAATTAGCTCTGTAATTATAAAGTTCATTTGTAGAGCTATCCTTATCAGTCAAAACATCTGTTTACAAATAAAATATTGCAAATGAAAAGCTGCAAACGTGGCGCAGGTGGCTGTCATTACATAACATGAGTAAAGTAAAGCTGTGCCACAGAGGAAAACATACAGGTTTAATAAATGTACATGTTGTCTCTGTAGCATGTTGCTGGCCAGGAACACTCAGGGAACACTGCATGTTTTCTTCAGCTAGTTTATGAAGATGGCTCAGTTGAGACAGACCAGCATTAATCAGCTTCCTCATTCTTCCGCCTATTCCAAGATAATCTCATTTAGTCATTCACTGCTGATGTTCTTTCCACTATCAACAATTTATAATGAAGAGTCATCTCTACTGCTCAATCTAATCTTGAAGCCCCAGATATAAATAGGGGGAAAAAACTAATTGGCTTTGCTACATTTTTGACAATGCCTTGTCATTTTTTTCACCTGTAAAGTGCAAGTTCCTTCAACACCACCATCAGTACGTTAAGCACACTGTTACTTGCAGCTTTTAAGTAATGCAAAGGCAAAGAATAGCAAGCAACAAGTGTAAATTATTTAACCTTTCCCAACAGACCCTGAACTGGATTTGATTTGAGAAAGTGGTTGAATAAGGAAAAATGTTTATTTATATATAAAATGTTTTTATATATATAAAATGACAGCAAAAATAAAAATAAACTAGACAAGCACCCAATAGGCCCATTTCTTACTTAATAATTTACATGCAGCACTTCTCAATACTAAAATGCGCTCAACAACTAGCTTTTTTAAGAATTTGTCAATCTGTGTCTGGATCCAGATCTACATCAAATTAGGCAGTGAAAATATATAGTGATGGACAATTGTGTTGATTAGCTATTGGAATCGTGCTTTCTTGGAGAATATCTACTGTATATCCTGCTTCAAGCAAACCTGTTTGAATGTTGTTTAAATTGCATGATGCATTCAAGAGTTATGACTGCTAGAGGCAGTTAGGGGGAATAAAAGAAGGTGAATAATATTTTGTCCGATTATGTTACCATTCAAACTGTGTTAATCTTGGATTATGTGAAGGAGGAAAGATTTAAGTTTGGGTTTGGGTTCAGGTTTGGACTTAAAGTTACTTTCACTAAAAACGAATCAAATTAAAAGACTTGTTGACTGGACAATGGCCCAGTTTCTCTTTAGAGAATTTTCCCCTTTGTTTGGGTTAGTTAGTTATTTTTTTCATCATAATCATTTTTATTTTCTGTGTTTTAAGGTGATTTCCATTCTGAATATGCAGAACGAAAAAATATGATGGGGTGGAGCATGTATTCAGGGTGTGTGACATCCACGTTGTTGTTGTTGTTGTTGTTGTCGTCTTCCTTCAAGATAATTCCATTTTGTGCAGCAGAGCTGGTGGCTACAAGAATACTAACCGCTTGAAGCTGAACATTTACCACCTCCTATGAGATTCAGGTGAGATTTCTTTCCACATAAAGCTCTGAATATATTTATGGAAATTTGGCAAAGAGTTGTAATTGAATCAAGTTTAGATTTGGTTGTTTATTACACTGTTTATCCATCACAGGGTCAGAAATAAATAGAAACTTATTAGAGCTCTGAAGGAGAAAAGATCCACACTATCTGGCACATTTTGTTAGAAAATTTCATAGCTCTGTTTCGAGTTAACAGCCTCAGATAGTCATCTACAAGTGATTTATACATTTTTTTATTAAGTACTTGCATAAAGTTGCGTACAGTATGTGAGAATGATTCAAGCAATGCTTTTATCAGTGATGCAACTCATTTTAAACCCAATTTCTATCCTGTAACCTTTTACTAGTCTATTTGCTTCCATTTTTCTCACAAATACAGCAACTGCAGGTTTTGGGATGATACAGCTGATGGGTCATTTTTGGACGAGACTACCTCATGTCTCCCAAGATCTGAGGAGAAATGGGGGGGGATAGTTGATCTGAAAATTTCTTGCAAAAATGTAGCAGCTTGTGAATAAGACACTAGTATCTTACAATGCAGACAATCTCCTGAATTACTCGGGTAATTATCCTTAAGGTCAGAAATTTTCTTTTCTTCAGATGCTAATCAAGTAAACTGCAAAGAGCATTTTTGTTATCATATTGTATCTAAAACTCAAAAGTTTCAGTAAGTTTAATGCAATGTTTTACTAACACTGTTATCTGGTATATTGTGTGTGTGTGTGTGTGTGTGTGTGTGTGTGTGTGTGTGTGTATATGTGTATGTATGTATGTATGTATATATATATATATATATATATATATTTATTTATAGCCTAATGTAACATTTATATTGTTAACACATTTGATTGTAGCTGGTAATGAATTTGTACAGATGTAGATCATATGATATAAATGACTCTGGGGGACCTTTGACAGGCTTTTCCACTTAAAAGGGTGAAATTGGTTTAATTGCTTTGTATTCACATTTCCTCCCAGAGAAGTTTGTTTCTTAGATATCTAAATTGGATTATCTAACTCTGTGGGTAACACTTTAGTGTAATCTGTTTATCTGACAAGGCTAATGCACTTATTTACTCATAAACTGCAGCGCCTATTATGTACATAATAATTATAATAACCATTTCCTCTTTCCTTGTAGGGATATATGACTGTCAGCTACTGAACAGACAACCAGAACTTACATTTTTAGTTCATAGTGGCACAGTAATAGCTGGACAACCTTGACCCTCAACAGGATTGCCTTCTGGGTAGCAACATGTCAGACAGTGATAAGAGACTGGAGCTCTTAAGAAAGATCCTCAATGGATGCAGTGTAGACCCATCCTGTAATAACTCCAGCATCGACAGTGGGCTGGAGATTCTAGATGATGGATGCCCCTGGCTAAGAATAGTTATCTCTGTAGTTTACTTTGTCGTGGCCACAGCAGGAGTGTTAGGGAACTTGTTAGTGATGTTCCTGTTGTATTCCACTCGCACCCTCACCACAGGCACCATCAATTTCTTTGTGTTCAACCTAGCTTTGGCTCACTTGCTGTTCTCCCTTGCCTTGCCGTTTTGGGCCGTAGACATTGCGCTGGATTACAGCTGGCCTTTTGGCTTGGCCACGTGCAAGGCTGTGTCCTTACTCACTGGCCTCAATGTGTTTGCTAGCTGCTTTTTCCTGACAGCTATGAGTTTGACCCGGTACTGCTATGTGGCCACTGCTCTGAAACCCAGTGCCTCCCCGTGCAGTAGATCATGCACTTTTCCGGTGGCCACTGCTTTTATCTGGGCTGGAGCGCTCGTAGCAGCAACACCCCGAGCTGTGTTTGCTGACCTGAAACATGTGGGCAACGACACAGCATGCCTGCTCCGTTTCCCAGATGGTACAGCCTGGCTTGGAATAAACCAGCTCCTTCGAGTGGTGGTGGGATTTCTGCTGCCCTACGCCACCATCACCCTCTCCTACCTGCTTCTGCTGCGCTTCCTCTGTCGGCACAAACTGAAGGGTGGGATTTCTCGGCGAAAGGCTGATATTTCAAAGTCTGTGGCTGTGGTGGTGCTCTCATTCTGCATATGCTGGTTTCCGTATAACATCCTCACACTTTGGAGTGTTCTGATTCAACTTGACATTGTTGATATTAGCACCTCATTCTTCTTGGCTCAAACATACTTTTTCCCTCTGGCCAACTGCTTGGCTTTCACCAGCAGCTGCTTCAACCCCGTCATCTATTGCCTAGTGAGGAAAGAATACCGTGTGGCTCTCCACAATGTGCTCTTCAAGTTGAGCCTGGCTATAATGTCCAAGATACCCTATGGCATTAATTCTGAGGAGGGCTCGGGACAAGCTGGGAATGTGGTTATTCCACTCAACAACATGTACAGCAAGACAAACCAAACTGACACACGGGGATATGTACCTCTGTCAACACTTCCAACAGTAGAGGCCACCCTGTAAAGCCACAACACAATGATCAAATTCTTTACACCTAAACTTACTAGTTACTAGTTTAAAGTAACAAGGAATGGCATGTTTCAGTTTTACGGTGTGCTTTAGGAGGACCTGTCTTTTCCTCTAAGGATGTGCAGAATGTATATTTCAGATATGTTGTGAATACGCTGCATATTAAACACACCTAAGCTTTTGTGGGTCTTGTATTTTACAAGTGTCTGACTAGGCTACACGACTCAGGTCTTATTCGATGAAGGCATAGTAAAAGTTTCAACTGTCTTTCCTATTCCTTTTCTTCTCCATCTTCTCATTATGTTGTATTATTAACATGAAATACTATTCAGTAGTTTACTATTTTATAAAAATGTTTACTGCTGCATTTTGGAACAGTTAATATTGCTGCACTGTAAGTCTGGATTGTGGTTGTCTTGTCCAGGTGTGAACACAATTTGTCATTTGTTTGAATAGAAATTAATAAAAGAAATTGTTCCAAACCTGCGCTTTTTACTATTTGTTTTTTTCCCCCACATCATCTAGTCTTTCTGTGTATGTGTCTGTCTTTCTTACCTTGTGATGCTTACCTTATGCTGTCTATAATGTCATTAATATTGGAAATACATAAGTTACATTTAGCATGTTTAGTCTTGCTACACAGTTAATCAGACTAATAAAGGTATAGGTTGTTCCTTTAAGAAAAACAGTGCTATCACATGGTGTAGACTAAAGAAAAGTGAAATACCAAGTTAGAAAAAGTAGTAGTAGAAGTCATTGCTTGAAAGAAAAAAAAATCAATATTTGGTACCTTAAAACATCAACATAAAACATAAATATAAAACTACCATGGCCAATTTAGTGGCAACAGCTGTCTCACGTTTTATGAGAGCAGAAAAGTGTTTTTCTTTCATTTTAACATTACACCCGAATTGAAAAGACAGGATATTCAAATATAATCATATATCAGGATGAACTCTGTTAGAAGTATCATTCTGTCTCATGGGTTTCAATACTGTTTAGATGAAGCTTTTGGGAAAGGGACCAATATGCTACATCCTGGTACACCACACGATGGTGCTGTTGATCAACTTTAAAAACTGAACGAGGCTCAAACTGATCCCATACAAGTAACATGGTTATGCATCTTTCAGAGTTATTATATTTCCATTCTTCTATAAATCACTTTGACTTTTATCTAAATTTGATTCTAATCATTAGATGCCTCAGTAAGTACTTGATTTCTTGTTGGATTCCACTCTGTTTTATCAATTATTCTTTCTGAATTCTAAAATGACTTCTCCATTAACTCACTTCAGTCTTTGACAGTAGAATGCAAGTCAATTTAAGAAACCAGAATTTAGCACATTTTTTCCACAACATTTTCAAGCTAGATTGTTTGCACTGCAGACACATAACAAATTGATTACAAGCATACAAGACCCATCAAGGAGTGTGATAGTGTCTGAGAGGAAAGTGGGAGCTGTGAAAGTGATTCCTGCAGAGGGCAGTGTGTCAGGCAGATGATTGGTTGTCTGCAGTCCTCTGGCATCAAGACCTGATGGAGAGCAGCTGACATCCCGCAACCTGAAAGTAACTTAGTACACACATTTACTCAAATGCTGTACCTAAGTACTTGTACTTTACTTGCACAATTCCATTTTAATGCGGTTTTATACTTCTACTCCACTGCATTTCAGAGGCAAATACTCCACTACACTTAACTGATAACTTCAGTTACTTTGCAGATTTAAGGTACTAACACAAAATATAAATCCGCTAATAAATTAGATACTCAGCAGTATATTAAAGAATTAAAATGATATCCACCATTGCTAACTGCAACATTAAAGTGATGTACACATGAAGGAATGAATGAATGAATGGATTCTTACTTTTGCACTTTTACTTTTTGAATGCAGGACTTTTACTTGTATCAGAGTATTTTTAGACTGTATAGTGGTGCTTTTCATTACGTAAACAGAGATGAGATGGATGAGGTTGGTTTGCAGATGCTTGGGGATGATTGTGTTGGATATTAAATCCACAAACAGTATTTTGGCATTTAAAGCCAGAGCTGTCAATGTATTCCAGGACAAAATGGAGGGTCACACTGACAACTTCATAGGACCTACAGTATGGGAGTCAACATTACTCAACCACAATGTTACCAGCTTTTATTTGACTATAAAGAAATATTAATAGATTTGTTTGGCCACTTGTGGGCAGCAAAAGAAACTGAAAACAACATCTGGATTTTGTTCTATTAAGTTGATACAGTGAACATGTTGGCACAAACAGTTGCCTGTTTACACATCCAGTAGATATAGGCCAACATTAGCATTCAAGCTTAAGAGAGGAGCATTGACTGAGGCGGTCTCTTTTGGATTCTTCTCCACTCTTTTAGGGCTTTATCACAAATTATGTAAATACTTTATAAAGTATGTATTTATAAAAATCTTTACACTTTACACCCTGTCTTCAAAGAATTTAATGGAAACCCAATGCTTAGCTCTATGTAACCCAAATGTAACCATAGCTTAATTGGGTACTTAAAATAAAAGATCTTCAGTTTGGGATTTATTAATTTATTTAAATCACTCAGAAAAATCACCTGAAAAATGAATACATTCCCTTTGTTCAAACAAAACAAATGATATCAATCAAGTATACTTACACTAATAATAATAATAATAATAATAATTACAAGCGCAATCATACCTACAATAACTACCATTATAAATAAAACTACCAACATTAAACATCCACCATACAACATCAGGGGACTGGAGGGTATGGCTTATCCATGGGGCATGGCTTATTTCAAAAGAAATGTCAAGTAAATTAAGGTATTACATCCAGTAGGCCCAATTCAAGTCAGAAACCCCACCAACTATATATTTGTGACACAGATCAATTGTGCAGAATGATAGCTGCCAAGAAAAATACTTTGTTTCATTCTAAAATTCTATACATCCATTTTAGAAACATAAATATGTTCATAGATGTTAAATACCCTTATTCAAAATATACAAGATCTCTCATTTCATTTATTAGGTCCTGCTTTAGCTGCAGCAAAGCGGCAGTTATTCTCCCTTGGGTCAACAAAAGGTTCATACATCCTCTAAAATGTCATGATTCTGTAAACATAAAGCACTTCTTCAATTTTATTTCTTCAAATATTCCTCATCAAGTTTTATAACACTGGAACTGTTTTTCATTTGGACCAAGAAACTCAAGAAGCTCTTGTTCCCTTTTTATGTAACAAATAATTCAACAGAAGGTGTAAATTAAACTATTTATATGGATGAGGCGAGGGCCAGGAACCAACCAAAATAAGAACAGAGTAGTTGTCTTAGCACAGACCCCTCATTTCATGTGCTTTTTAAAATTGTATTTAGCTTTAATGGTCACTTAAGATTGCGTTTCACTATTTTTGTGCATTTGGCATTAAAGATATCAAAAGTTCTTGCTAGCAATATCTCCGTGTTCCTTGTAACACCTGAGAGTCTGACGAATATCTGGAACACAATCTCATCCTGTGATTAAAAGCATATTTGTATGAATGCAATGGTAACGGCACTTAAATACAATAGTAAACCCTGTGATGGCGAAAGTTTTATATATAGGAAATTCTAAAATGGCAATGAACAAGCAACCAAAAATTTAGCCTGATTTTGCATTTGGTAAGAGAGAGAAAATTGGACCTTTTTGTTAACACTGTGCATTAAATTAATGGAGGTTTTTAGTCACATGGAATAAAGTATCCTATCAGGTTGTGGTATAAATCACAATAAGGATCCTTAATTCCAACAGAGAAGGGAGATGAGGACAGGATTTCAGAGGTAGCACACTGTACCACTGCAGCTAATACAGAGAGAGTTTTAAGAATGCATGGGCATATCGTATATTTTTATGTCTTTATAAACTTTTTTTTCAGATAATGGATTGCAGCTTCTCATAAAATGAAAACAGAAGTGCAGTATTAACATTTCAAAATACTGTATTGCAATGCAGGCCAAACAAATAAACGCGTGTTTCAAAAGAAGATTACTTAAAACTGCAATCCAGTATTGTTGAAAGCACCACTGCTATTTCGGTTTCACAAACATAGTCGAGATATTTTAATTTGTCTCATTATTCTACAGAACAGAAATGTGGGAAATTATTCCGCTCTCATCCCATGAACGCAATCATACCATAGCACTGTAGTTTCTGGATTGCAGCATTAAGAGTTTAAGAATATAAGAATCCGTTTTTTTTACCACAAGTTCAACATGCCTGAAGGCCTACCCTTGATTTGAATACATTTTACATATAAGAATAGATATACATTAAGCTATTTTATACATTTCTGGTAACATAAACATATAACTTTGTATCATTGATATTTATCTTGAAAAGAAAACATCTTTTTAAAGGCAAGAGGTTAAGATAAATTATATCAAACATGAAATTTGTAATATAAATGATTCTGACTAACATACAGAGTTAACCAACACACTGCTTATTAATTCATCACCTGACTACAAAAAAAGGACATTTAATATACAAAGTTTACAAGTTTTTTTGTATTGGCATTGTTATTTTGGGCCCTGTGGCACAGACTGTAAGGCAGTCAGATCCTATGCACATATACTACATATCCCTGCTTGGAAACTCTTTATTGTTCTGTTGTTTTCACGGTCTCTCCTCTTTTGTTGTCTGCGATTTCTGTTCATTTCTCTCAGTATTTCCATGTTGTATAATGCAAAAGGCTGAATGCCACCCTCTTCTGCAAAAAACGGAAGAGTCAGCAGGTTGTATTTAAAAAAGATGCCTTCCAATAAGAAAGCCATGTCCCAAGTTTTTTTTGTACATTAGAATAATATCTGACAACAAACTGACTTACTCATCCTCGCATTTAAAAAGCACATGCAGAACTGTTGCACATCTATGCTTCAGAAACATTAAACACAACAGATGAGTAATTCACTACTTGCTATAATATGATTTGTTTCCAGTTGCACATAATGTTTATAATCATAGTTATTAAAATGTATTTATACAGCACTTTTCAAACCAATGTTACAAAGTGCTGTACTTCAAAACATGAAAAGGCTAAAAAGATAAATAATGAAAATGGCAGACCATGATTTTTTATTTAAAATTTTTTGAAGTTGAATCATTACTTTACTTTACTGAGGCTTGGTTAGTTTAGGCTGGCTTTAGACTAACACTGTCTCTCAGATGTAACTGTCCATGAGACAAGCATTCATTAGAAACTGTAGATTAAAGATGAGCTGGAGTCCTGCTGTTGCTATCAGAAATGCAGCTGTCAATATTATCTTTCAGAAATTTCTGATTGCATAACCTGTCTTAAAGCTGGAGTGCGGGGCTTTTACATATAACTGAACTTGAAGAGCGCTTAGAGAAGAGAGAGGACTGAGGGCAGACACGGATGTCACATTACTACTCTTGGACAGGTTGGTATTTGTAGAAGTAGGTTATGTAACTATTAAATTTACTCTACCTAAATAATAGATTACTGTCTTGGAACTGTGGACATTTCTCTGTATTTTTGTAATTCTGAACACGAGTGAGAGGCGAGCTCAACTGTAGGTATATTTAACCAGCATGCGTCGACAGTGTAATTACCCTTACTGCCAGAAGGGGAGACAAAAGTTCCGCACTGCAGGTTTAAAGACCATGTTAAATAGATATAATATAGTTTGTTTTCCTTCATAAGGGAAGGGAGCACTCCAGTGACTTAGTATTGCACTTCCATTAAGTTAGAGGCCTTTATAAAAAGAACTGAGGCAGAGATATCTGGACTCTTAGAACCCATTTACACCTGGAATTAACCTGTAATCTGGATGTCCTAACTGGTTAATGAAAATGCATGTAATGCAAGGTTTGAATGCATTCAGTGCATTGTGATCGCATCTCCACCAGGTGTAAATCACATCCGTACAGTGTGACCACATTCTTCAGAAAAAAAAAATGCAGAACAGGTTGAAAGTTCACCTAACTTAGACTCTCTCCACTAGCTTAAGCTGCCCGCCAAGTAGTAGCAGTAGCTAACAACTCTTTCCTTGCAAAATGTGATTTAGAAATTACTGAGCAAACAAACATGGCATGGGATGTGCCATGTTTGTTATTCACCACCCCAGACTAATTAACATATTGAGATCCGTAGATTAATACAAGGTGTAGATGCAAAATGCCTGCTTATATGGAGATACAGATCACATGATAACACCAAATGTAAATGTCGCCTCTGTGCCTAGCATGGGTCACGCTCCAAAATGCTGGATCCTACATTTCCCATAATGCAACCAATAGCGTTTTTTTTCCTAGCCCCTACTGCCTGGTTAATGCCGACGTCAGTCAAACTCCACACCCGCAGTTTGTAACGCAGACTTTGTGTTTTAAATGTAGAGACTCCAAACCCAAGCTGAGATGTTAGATTCTCAAAGCTCCTCCAGAGCCACAGAGGACATTATAAAACTGTTTCCACAGGCTGAGAAGTCCTGTAATGCATAAATTGGTGGAGTGCCCCTTTAAATTGACACAATTATTCTTTCATGTCAGGTTGTTCTGTCTATTATTTACGAAGCACTTTGTATCACTGCTTTAAAATGTCATATATTCTTTATTATGATTAATATTATTATTATCACAAAGTGAACAAAACACATTATAATCTCAGATTTTCATCTTTTCAGATTTAATCTCAGATCAGTTTTTGTAAAGTATTTCCATTATTAAAAAGGTTTAGTAGCTTTAAGATATAATTCTTCTATACACAGAGTCAAAAGAGTGTTGGTCTGGCTTTACACTGTGAGCCGGAAAATGTAACCAAGGAGAAGATTTAGATTGTATTTAAAGCAGTTAGTTGATTTTAGGATTTGTTTGGCATCTATTCAGATGGGATGGCGGTACTATAAAAGATGCAAAAATCATAATGATGACCACCTTTGTAAGTGAGAATATGTTACTAAATGATTCAATCAGAATCAAATAGTAAAATAGGTCTTTGCTTGGGCCCTGTATCCGAGGATCATGGATGGCAAATTATTTGACAACATGTTTGTTGTTAATCACAGGCGTCACCATGAGGAGATATTGTGCTTTTAAAAGCCTTTTCAACATTTTGTCTGCAGCCACTTAGGTGAGAAGCGAGTGTGCTGCTTGTAGCGGGGAAATTCATGAATCCATCTTCATCCCCAGTGTTTTCCGCTTCTTCCGATTAAATAAAGAAACTCGATAGGTTCAGTATTGCCATTTTTGTGGCATTGGCTTATATTTCAGTCAAAATGTGTAGAAGATTTTCTGCACACATTGGTCCTCACGCTAAACTGATTGTCATGTTCTGGTACAGGCAAAGTTTAAATATGTGCAAAGTTTTTTTTTTTTTTTTTGTTTTTAAGAAGGTTGTGAGATGAAGCCTCCAGTGGTCCTGCTGGATCCACTACAGAGCGTCTCTTCATGGGTTTTTGTAGGAGGATCAGAATCAGTCTTCTTACACTCGAGTGACCATCATGAACTCTGGTCACTTTGGAATTGACAGTCAGGATCCTGGGTGGCCACCATAGCCCTGGCAGATAGACTGAAGGGAGAAAAAAAAATGCATGAAATTATTTCCATTTACAACTTCGAGAGAGCACAAGTTTGAAGGAATAGTTAAGACATTTTCAGAGAGTTGGATGAGAGGATCACTCTCCAAGGTACCACTCTCATGTCTGTATGTTAAATATGCAGCTGGAGCCAGCAGCTAGTTAGCTTAGCTTAGCATAAACACTGGAAACGGCTAGCCTCGCTCTGTCCAGAGGTAGAAAATTCTGCCTACCAGCTCCACTAAAGTTATTTGTAAGTAAGTTTGCTTACTTCATACAGCTGAAATGTAAAAATTGATGATCTACTAGCTTACAGGATGTTGTGCTGGAGTATTTCTCGGCCAAAGTGATTAGCAGGCAACCAGCGGAGGCTCCAAGAAGTTACTGCTCCTGGCCAAGAAACAGTCCAGCAAATAACCTAGCCCCTTGGACAGAGCCAGGCTTACTGTGTCCTTATTTCCAGTCTTTGTGCTTTGCTAAACTACAAAAACCAGCTGCTGGCTACAGTTACATATTTAACATACAGACATGAGAGCGGTATAGATCTTCTCATCAAACTCTCAGCAAGAAAGCAGATGGAAGCATTTCCCAAAATGTCAAATTATTACTTTAAATCTTAATTCTCTATTTTTGGGAAAGAACTGTTCACACTAACACAGGAATTAAGACTCTCCCAAGCTGAAGGAACAGCATTTCTCAACACTTACTTGGACTATTAATTTTATTTAATGGGACTCCAATAACTCAAACATTCAATATTGGCCAGACGGTGGGGTGGTGATGGCGCAGTGGATAAGACGCATGCCTTTGGTGTGAGAAACCCGGGTTCAACTCCCTGCTTAAGCAAGACACTTAACCCCTAGTTGCTCCAGAGACATGCAACCGCTTACATATATAGAAATGTTAAGTCGCTTTGGATAAAAGCATCAGCTTCATGTAAATGTAATTCCTTCAGTTGGCAGCATTGTAAATTCCTTTTTGATACTAACAATGAACTAGCTTTTGTTATTTAAATTATGCCAAATAAGAAACTAAAAAACAATCATATTAATAACCAAGGTTTTCACACTGAGATTTGAGGCATTTAAGAGTTCAACCTTAATATTCACTGTTAGTTTGGTAAACAGCTAAAAGATGCCGGTGACAGTTACTCCTGATGATGGCTAGCTTGAGTGGGAGGCTGTTGGAGTACAGTCATACAGCAGCAGCATCAGACTGTTGTCTCCAACTAAATCTCAGCCTAGCCGGGCTCAAACAGTTGGCTATTAGCAGGTAGGTTATTTATAAAAATCACTTGGCCTAAAGATACCTGGTGATTTAATCAAATATATCAAGTATCTGTACGGCTAAGCAATATCTGCCCACAGTGTTGGGTCAGTGATCCACCTGGACAAGGGAAGACCGAAGGGTAATGATGGTTGACAGGTCAATCTTAATTTATTAAGGTATCGCGAATGCTCAGGTTCACACAGGCAAGGTAGTAAAATAACTAGAAGACATGTCTATAAAACAAAGGTTTGGTTAAAACGAAATGACTGTACAAACACAAGTGAAATTGCATTAAGGGATCTTTGGTTTTCCCCTAAAAATGGGAGTGGCCATGACATTTTACAAACTACCGTATATGCCAGTCTGATCCATCACAAGAGTGTTGTTTTTATAGCTATGACTATAATTTGAGCCTAAAAGGATGGCTTGCAAACTAATCCTGCTTTGCAAACATGAAACTTCTAAATTGGGCTGCAGAATTTGGACATCTCTTTTCATCACATGCTCATAGTAAGTCTGGTGTAAAAAAACAATTACAATCTCACAGCAGACCCAGTACAGAAACACTTCTATATATGGTTTGAGTTAGCAATAGGCAATTTTGTCTATTTGTTTTGAGCTGAAAGGAGGTAACAGTGTATTTCAAGGATAGCAAATGTTTCTCCTGAGTTATTTCAGCGTAAGCGCGGCACACACAGCCTCTTCACCTGCGTCACAATCCAGCCCACATGGTGCATTCACGAAGCTGAGCCCTGCAGAATTATTGTGACGCTGCTGGTGAGTCACAGTCAAGGTTTTCTAATGATCAATGCGTTCTGTGGTATAATAGCTATCTTTTTGTGCTAAATAATATTCCGTTTCAGTGTTGAAGACTTGCTATTCCTTCACAGAGACAAACTAGATTAACTTATGTATATACACATTTAAACCCCATCCAGCTCTTGATTTTTAGGATCAGCACCGTTTCCATTCTCCCTTCAGGCATGTGCAGTAAATGGTGAAATGTTATTTCAGATGTGACATGAATGTGCTTTTGAAAGATGGGAATAGGTGAAGTGTATGACAGCTGCAAACTTTTTTCCCCTGCACTGGTTTTGGCAAAAGCTTTGGATGTGATGCAAGAAGTATGCAAACTGTTTTAAGACATGACTGGTTTAGCAAATAGGGATGATAAAAGATGTAGACACAGGCACAAACCTGGTCTGTGAGGATTCGAGGCTTAATATCAGGAATGGCACCCCCTCTCAGCTCATCTTCCACAGCCATGAGTCTGACAACAGGGAAATAGACACAAACATCCCGGTTGACAAAAATAGAGTTATGAAGCCGGTGTTCTTCAAATTTACTGTAGGATTATGTGGCCATATGATGATATTAAGGTCTTGACATGTATCTTGTTACATTCAGCTATCCTCAGAGCTTCCTGAAGCTGAATCTGAACTGTCTTCAAAACCATCCAGGCAGTTCAAATTCAGCTGTTCAGATATAGAACTTGAAATGAATGTGTGCGGGATAGTTAAGTGTGCAACCATCTGCGCTATCTGTACTCAAAGGATTTTTTTTTTTTTTTAACTGAAGGAGGCTTTCTACCAAAAGAGATGAGATGTGAGCTCTGTACACTCCAGTTTTACAAACCTTTGGCATTCAGAAATAAATTGAATGTGCTGCACAAAGCATTTCATTGGGTAGGAACCCCACTTTGTTCCATGAAACAAGTACATTCCCTTTTGTGGCTACAGTCAGAATAAGTCTGGCTTGGCTTCTTCTGCCCTCGTAAACTAGTTACTGAAATAAAATAAAACCAATTGAAATGAATTTGAATTTAACCTTATGAAGTGTTTCATATTAAGTATGAGACTAATGGGTATGGTTTTTGGTATTAGTTGTGATATTTAAATGACCTACATTTAAAGTAATAATTCCACATTTTGTATACACTTATTTGCCTTTGAGAAGATCACTACCACTCTTTGGTCTGTGCGTTAAAGGTACCCTGTGGAGGTTCTGACCACTACTTGTGCTTTGGAGCAATGTGTTGATGAGTGAGTCCAATGATTATGAGTCCAATAGCCAAGTTTCCTTACAAATGTAGCACAATCTGCAAAAGAAAATGCAAATGAATGTGCCCGTTTCCATCCACTTCTATTAATATTAGGAGTTGAACGCATCAAGATCCAGCCGGGTGCCATTAAACCATTGCAGAGGAATAGGGCGCAACAAGATGATGTAATAAAAACAGCGCCAGTCAAACCTCAAACGGTGGGGAAAAAATGTAGAAAATATGGCATTTCTGTTTGTGTATTTTATTAATTTTAGGAAGGTTGTAGTCTCCTCATCATTTCCCCAGATCTGTTGTTTTTGTCTGCAGCTATTTTTAGTCTCTTCACTGGAGCGAAAGCTTGACGGACATTGAAGTCCAATGCTTCATGTGCACCATGATTACTTTGCTTTGTTTCCATTGTACTTTGTCACATTTTCTTTTTATTTATACACCAATATCTCCACATCAGCCAAGCATAAAAACTTAATTTCTGCATTTCCACACAGGTGTTTAAAGTAAAAATTGAAAAAGTGCATAAATACAGGTGGATGGAAACGCACATGGAGATGCACATAAATATTAACATAAACCCGGCCATGCATGGACTTTGGTAACACGATACAAATTCATCTGTCAATATAAACTGTTTACAAAAAAACCCTCCACAGGATACCTTCAAGTGTGGAGCTCAGCCAGGAGGTAATTTAGTATAAAGACTATCAGCACCTCTAAAGCTTGCTAATAAACATGTGGCACCTCATTTTTTTAATCCAAACAAAAAAAGAAATGTAAATATTGTGTGGTTTTAGAGGGGAGTTTCTTTCATTTATTTGGACACATCCACGCTAGCTGTTTCCCTCTGCTTCCAGTCTTTATGCTAAGCTAAGCTAATTTCCTCCTGGTACCTGTAAGAGTGATTTCTATGTTCTCATTTAACACTCTTAGAAAAAAAGCAATTAAGCATATTGCACAAAATGTTGAAATATTTCTTTGAATAATAAAATGGATACATATGATGTCATGCAAGTTTTATTACAGTGGAAAACTTCAACTTTTAATTATATTTTGTGAGGAGCCTAAAAGTTTAGTGAAGACTGACAGATTCTTCTTCCTGCACTGAGCAAAGATATGTTCCACTGTCAAGTGAGTCACAAGTCTGAGTACTTATACAACAGACACTTTTAACCACCTTTACTTTGCATGAATTCTCCATTTTGTTGCAGGACTTAAATATTTGCTTTTACAGCTGCACTAGATTACTTGCTACACAGGATCGATTGTTGTTACACAGTAAGTATTCAGTCAGTCATTGCCTGACCAAGTCCCATGAATGTGAGTAGCAGTAACAGGCTGTCGCGAAAGTCTCCATGCCAAATACACTATTTGTATATGATATAATATAAATAATCTTGATTTAAGGCATACATTCAAAAGATATTCTGCCTTTCAAGTTTTGCATAAAATCCTATTTTATGATTCTTATTTTTTTATCTTGGTAGTAACTTGAGTGACACATTTGATGCAATAGATAAAGCCAAGCAGTAACTGGCACATCCTTATTTCTGCCATTTTTGGTTCATTCACCTGGTGATGATGCCTTTGATTTGACAGTCCTTCTCCATTTGCTGCTGCTTTAGACGGCGTTCACTGTCTTCCAGGCGGTTCTGATACTGCATTAGGATCTTGCTTGTCTGCTGTTCCTGCGACATAAGTCTCTGTTCATATTCTTCAAGCTTGCGATGAGACATCTTCAGCCGCTCCTTCAAGGAATGTATCTCTTCTTCGTACTCTTTAACCTGAAATAAACATAAAGTCACTTCACCTGTGTCGTCACAGTGAATGATGAGTGACTTTACCAATATAGACACGGCTCTCTAGCACAGCTCTCATTATGCTAAGAAGTAAGTGGGATAAATGTGCAGACAAAGCTGCAGTGGAATCGTCATACGCTTAAATGTGTGCAATCACACATTTCAATGCTGTGCATAGACAAGTCTTTCTAATATAGGAAAAAGTGTGAGGATTATTCATCATAGCAAATGCACAACAGTCACAACTATGCAACTTCTGTGACAGCATTGATATATTGTTGCAATATGGCAGAACAGGTTGAAACAGTGTCAAAAAAGTGTGCTGACCCTCTCTAGTCTTGACTCATCCATGCTCTTAGAGTACTCTTTCAGCTGGCCCTCACGGTCTGGCCGCAGACTCTCTATGTCAGCAGAGAGGTGAGGCATGTTGGACACCCAGGCGACTGTCCGTTCGTTGAGGGCCGAGGTATTCAGAGTCGACTGAGAACCCTGAAGCAACAACACAGGCCAGTCATGCTTTAAAATCATGTCTTCATCTTAGAAGTTTCTTGATATTTGACTTTTGCTGAAATATCTATAGATAATAATTGCCATACAAAGTATCCAAATTTGGTCTTTCTCTCATTACCATTTATACAAATAACAGAAAACATGTTAATATAATGGCATACGTTGTAAAGCTTGTGTTGTCACAGTAATAAATATTCCTTCTGTACAGTTTTGGAGCTCCATTTTAAATAAAAAAACTGTAGTTATATACTGACCTGTTTATTTCCTGGTTTGAGCAGATGCTGCTGTGGCGGCTGCAGTTGTGATGGTTGAGACTTCTTGGTACTTTTTGTGGGTGTGTCTGTTGACCCCTCTGCAGCCGCTGACGGACCCTGGTTCTCTTTGGCAGAGCTCGTCTGGTACGGGAGTCCAGGAGCTGGACTGTCTGTCACTGAAAGCTGTGAGTCCTGTTGATGCTGTTGTTGTTGCTGTTGCTGTTGCTGCTGCTGCTGTTGTTGTTGTTGTTGTTGTTGTTGTTGATGTGCCTGCTGCTGAGTTTGGCGATGTTTCGGCTGACTGCCACTGAAGTTTGTGTCAGAAGAGTCGAGAAGGAGGTTCCTGCTCTGCGGCCGAACCTTCGGGGGTGTGGCGGTGGCTGGAGTGTTAATGGACCGCTGTGACTTGAGGTGTTGTGGCTGGGCAATGGATGTCTGGCGGACATGGTGAACTGTAGTAGGTGGTGTGGCCAAAGAGGCAGGAGTGCCCGTCCCAGTGGCCGTCTGAGATGCGACTCCCATCATGTGCTGCTGCTGCAGAGACTCCTGAGAGGAGAAAATAAGGTGGCCGATAAAAAACAGACATGATGAAGAAAATTTACCAAATGTTTACTGAAAGCCATTATATGTACAATTTGAAAATATCGAACTTTGATGCCCCCTAGTGGTGAAATCCAGACACATCCAGAAGTGCAAATGGTTACCACATACCCCCCACGGATCTGAGTCTTGAACACCAAGGAATACACTCACTGCAACAATGTTTTAGCAGATTTTTCTACAAACAACAACATATGCCATCTGAATAATTTGAAAGATGCTATAAGTACATCGCACTGTGACTAGTAACGATGGACAGATGATAGGTAAGGCAACCTTTCCACAACAAGACCATGCAAAGTGCTTTACATAAGACAATAAAAAGGCAGATAGGAAGATATAAAATATGATGTCATATAAAATAACAAATGTATTTTTAAAAAAGTAAGACAAAATTGAAGATGATGAAGAATAATAATACAAATGAAAGGCGTAGTTACAGTGCTGTGCAAAAAAATATGAGTGGAATAGTCCTAAATTTGACTTATCTAGAAGCAGTGGCAAACAGAAAAGTTTTGAACCTTGATTTGAAAGAAAAGTTGGAGCAGAACTCAGCAGAGCAGGTTTTATGAGTTTCCAGATATGTGGTGCATCAGAACTGGATGGTGATGTTTTGTTTTGACTCTGGGAACAGTAAGTAGACTTGTCCCAGCTGATTTGAGAGGTCTGGATAGTCATGAATGTGTTTTGGCCCTAAACCATTCAGTGCTTTATAAACCAACAGCAGTATGTATACATGTTGATGTATAGCTGTAGCTAGATGGATAGATGGATGGATAAAGCACTGCCCTGAAACACCATCTGTATTAATAAGCAGGAGGCTTGTGATGTTTGTTCCATTAAGGCCCACGCAGCAGGACAGAAATAGCTCAAGACTACATGACA